AAACTATGCTGAATGAAATATTATTGTAATTGATCTTCCTAAAAGTTTTGTATCTTTGACAGGAACTATATTGAATGAAATATTATTGTATTGGATCGTCCTAGAAATTTTTATATCTTTGACGTAAGTTATTAACCTTCCTAGAAGTTTCTGTATCTTCGACAGAAACTATGCTGAATGAAATATTATTGTATTGGATCTTCCTAAAAGTTTTGTATCTTTGACAGGAACTATATTGAATGAAATATTACTGTATTGGATCGTCCTAGAAATGTTTATATCTTTGACGTAAGTTATTAACCTTCCTAGAAGTTTCTGTATCTTTTACATAAACTATGCTGAATGAAATATTATTGTATTGGATCTTCATAGAAGTTTTGTATCTTTGAAAGGAAACTTACTGAATGAAAAGTAGCTTTATCGACTTTAATATACACAAATAAAGTGTGCCCTTACCTTTAATAATGGTCTGTATGGAACAAAGAGCCACCAGTGAAGCCTGTAAATATTATATGGGAAAGCTGTGTGGTCATCTGCTACCACATGTAGTGTGTAAGATAATAAGAATTGCCCATTCTTTGTGAATCCCAGAAAGACATGGCTATCAAACAGAAAGATCTTATCAGTTTAAGTTAGAAAAGGAACAATGTACAGATACATTCAAATAAAATAATATGAAAACATAATACAGATATATTAACATTAAATAGCAATAAAACATTTCAAAGATAAATCAAAATTAAATTCCAGGAAAAACATATTACATATACATAAAAATCATTTTGACACACCTTAACTCTACATGCACTGCAGGGTCAAACTGTGCATGTTATGACCTTTTACACCTACATTCAAAATTTAAACAACTTTATTTCAATGTACATCAATAAACTTAGCATCAAAACATAGTTTATGATTTAAATTTTAATATCATCAAAGTTTATGTCTTAGTTTCAAAAGGAAATAAAAAAATTCTTCACTTCTCTGTGCACACAATGCACATGTGCTATAAATTGCTTATTTTAGGGTTTTTTTTTCTACCCTTATATGATTTTCTGGGTGTCTAACTAATTAGAAACACATACTATAGCAAGCCACAAAAATATAAACTTAGACCCTCCAATCTTCTACCTTCACTCATACAATGCACACTTCTGATCTCATTCTGTTTTCCAGAAACTATCAATAGTTCTCTCTGATCATCGTTATTGGATTTTTTATAACCAATACAAAGAACTTTTTTTTCTTTAGAAGATCCTTTAATGTGTTCTAAAATGCACGCTTAAAACAATCATAAAGGATTTTCTGGAGAACCAACATATTATGAAAAACTAGTGCTAAGAAAATATGCCCTCAAGTACAAATTACTAAAATAGGTTTCAATTTTAATAAAACCAAAATTTGTAGTTTTTATACATATATTTTTAACAAAAAGAACTAAAATGAATAAATTAGAAACTTATTAGGCTAGATAACCTGGAGTAAATTGAAAAACACTAAAATAAAGTTTCATGAGACCTAATTGAATTAACTGTGTCATATGATTGAAAACTGACTTGATGTTTACAGTAAGTTCTCCCATTGTGGTTAATTTCCTTTCCCATGAAGCAATTGGATATTTTTGAGAGAATTTTACAATTGCTTCAGTATTTTTAGCATTTTAAAAGAATTTAAGAAAGAAGTTATAATGATTTTCTGAGTTTTTAAGCAAACATATACATAAGGAGATGGCATAAGTAAAAGATGCCTGTATTATGAAATAAGGTCAAGAGCAAGGAAAGTACAGTTAGCTGGTTAAGTGGTACTGAGAATCACAAGTTAAAAGTTATAAAAAATGAAGCTACAACAGAGATGTTGAGAAAAATGCTAGCCATAAGTTGGACAATGATAAGTTACTGACACCGAGTTAATAGTACAGTAAAGGCTGGAACTTATAGAGGAAAGTTCCAAAAAAATTAATGTAGCCCTACATTCGCTGTAGGATCAAAAAACTTAATCTTCACCGAGATTACAGAGCAAAAGTAGAGGTAGTTCCGGCAGTGTAGGATAAAAGTTTGAGTGTCCATAGTGTTAATGAAGTATCGCCAATAGTTGTAGTGGAAAAAGAAGGTATAATATGTCGGTTATTGGTTGGTACAGGCACTCGATCTTCACTACTAAGTGCAGAACTAGTAGATAAAAATCTGACATTGTTAGATAATGCATTTTAACTTCTATAACAGGACATCTTGTTAAAACACTAAGTAAATATGGTGTAAATATGAAAATGTTAGAGTTAGAACACTCGTTTTACATCTGTAAGGAGATAGGTTTAGAAACAGAGATCTTAAGTTTTGAAGGACTTGAACTATCAGGCTTATGTGCAACAGTTGAGACACATGATACCTTCCTGCTGGCTAAAGTTAATAGTCAGACGCCTAACGCTAGCATTAGCAAGGCTAAAGATCAACAGTCAAAACACGAAAGCACTGATCTCCTAGAGTGTAGCGATACACAAAAAAGTCGGAGAAGTAGGAATAAGAAGTGTTCTAAAGGAAGTTCTAAAAGAAAGCCAGAAAATAACAGTACCCAGAAAAACTCGAAATCCACCAGAAGTGATGATGGAAGTTGTAAGAATAAGGGGATTAATAATAAGATAAGGCAGAGTAAGTTAGCAAGTAAGACTTTAAAACAGGGAAATAGTAATTCAAACCCCTCAGATGACTCTACACTTATGGCTAACATAAGCACCAGAGCATCCCAATAGGAGTGTTTGAAGGAAAGAGTACCTGTAAGATAATTAAAGTAACTGAAGTACCTGCAAGAAGTAAATTTATTGTTGAAGCTAAAGTAAAAGACTTTAAGCATAATGAAGAAGTGTTAGTTGAACCTACTGAGATAGAAGAAACAGGAGTTTATATAGCTACTTGTATTAGTAAAGTGTCCGAGAGAGACACAGTGCCTGTAAAAGTGTTAAATGTGAACGAAGAAAAAGTAATACTATGTAAAAACATAGTATTAGGTAAGGCTAGGAGTAGAGAACAAGTAGCTGAGGTAGGACAGCATAATGTTAATAATGCTAAGAAGCAGGTACAAGAGAGTAGGATAGAGTGGGGTTCTATCTCAGGAAATATAGAATGAAAACATAAACAAGGTTTGACAATGTTGTTAGAAGAGTATAGAGACATATTTGTAGGAGAAAATGACCCTAATGGTTGTAGAAATAAAGTTAAACATAAGATAGTCTTGAGTGATAATAAGCACAGAGACCCTACAGAGTGCCGGAAAAACACAGGGTTGAATTGAAAGAATGTGTAAAAAGAGACACTTGAACAAAGAGTAATAAAGGATAGTAGTAGTCCATATGCATCTTCAGTTGTATTAGTTCCTAAAAATGACAGAAAATTAAGGTTCTGTGTGGATTTTTGGAAAGTGAATGGAGTAACAGTCAAAGACATCTACCCGTTACCTAATATCCAAGAAACCTTAGATAGGTTAGGTGAGAGTAAATACTTATCATCTACAGACTTGCAAAGTCGGTATTGGCAGGTAGAGAGAGAAAAAGAAGATAAAGCTAAAACTGCTTTTGTATTACCTTCAGGTAAATATCAGTTTACCAGAATGCCTTTTGGCTTATGCAAAGCCCCTTCAACATTCCTGAGATAAATGAATGTTTCTGTTGTTTAGATGATGTTATAGTGTTCGCTGCAAGTTTTGAAGAACACTTAGAGAGGTTAGATTACAGAAAGCAAATTTAAAGCTGAAACCAAGTAAGTGTCAGTTTCTGAAAAAAGAAGTAGAATACTTAGGTAATCTGTTGCATTATCAAGCTTGGAAGATTCAGAATGTTTCTGTTATTTAGATGATGTTATAGTGTTCGCTGCAAGTTTTGAAAAACACTTAGAGAGTTTAAGGCTTGTACTTGTTAGATTACAGAAAGCAAATTTAAAGCTGAAACCAAGTAAGTGTCAGTTTCTGAAAAAAGAAGTAGAATACTTAGGTCATCTGGTAACCACAGATGGTGTAAGACTTGACCCAAAGAAGTTAGAAGTGTGTAAGAACTATCCAGTGCCTAAAACAGTAAAAGATGTTTGTGCATTTTTAGGATTTTATAGAAGGTTTATATCACATTTTACATTATTAGCAAAACCCTTAACTGAATTAATTAAGAAAGAATTAAAATTTCAGTGGACAGATAAAATACAGGAAGCAATCAAGAAACTAAGGGAAGCTTTATTAAAAGCACCAATTCTAAGGTATCCAGATTTCAGTAAAGAATTTATCTTAAGCACAGATGCTTCAGGTTTCACTATAGGTGCAGTATTATCTCACACGAAAATCGAAAAGAACACCCTATAGCTTATCAGAGTAGACAATTAGGAAAAGCTGAGATAAATTATTCAGTTACAGAACAGGAATACTTAGTGGTAGTGCATGGAATTAAAACTTTCAGTTGTTATCTGTATGGTATGAAGTTCACTATTATTACAGATCATGTACATTAAGATGGGTAATGACATTAAAAGACCCCTCCTCTAGGTTAGCAAGATGGTCATTATTACTACAGGATTATGATTTTGAAATAGTACATAGACCAGGTAAAAACCATTCTAATGTTGATGCACTGAGTAGAATTAGGGTAGAAAACACTGAAACCAAGGAAAAACAGACCATTAATAAAGTAAAAAAGCTTAACCCAGAGGATAAGGATGAATTAAAGGTAATTTGGGGTTTAGATCATGTGATTAGTGAGCAAAAGAAAGATCCAATAGTAAAGGCCTTATGAAACAATGTATTACAAGGAGAAGATACAGAGTACACATTAGATTCAAATATCTTATGTAAAAGATCCGATAGTAAATGCCTTATGAAACAATGTATTACAAGGAGAAGATACAGAGTACACATTAGATTCAAATATCTTATATAAAAGATCCAATAGTAAAGGCCTTATGAAACAATGTATTACAAGGAGAAGATACAGAGTACACATTAAATTCAAATATCTTATGTAAAAGAGCTAAGAATAATAGGTCATTACAAATAGTTGTGCTACATAACTTAAAAACCAAGGTTATGAAAACATATCATGACATGTCATTCGCAGCACATTTAGCTTTTGCTAAAACAGACAGTAGGATAAGTAGGAGATTCTTTTGGCTAAATATAAGGAAAGGTATTAAAGGTGAGTCATGCATAAACTGTCAAAAATAAAAAACGAGCCCACACCATAAGAACGCTCCATTACAAAGAATGTCGAGTCTAACAACACCGTTTCAGCTAGTGGCTATGGACATATTAGGCACATTGCCTATGTCCTAAACAGGAAACAAATATATGTGAAAATAGTTGCAGACTACTTAACTAGGTTTCCTAAGACTATATGTTTACCTGATCAGAAAGCAGAAACAACAGCTGAGGATTTTGTAAATAACATAGTAGCTAGACATAGTATACCACAGTATTTACTGACAGATAGAGGTAGTAAATTTATTTATAAGTTAATGAAAGAAGTTTGCGAGTTATTAGATGTAAAGAAAAGTGAAACAACAGATTATCACCCAGCTGCTAATAGTTTAGTAGAAAGGTTTAATAGAACTTTGTTAGACATGATCTCTCAAT